CTTTGACTACCAGATTACAGTCACAGCACCACATCATTGTTCTGTTTTGCAGAGTCAGACTGAAGCAGAACCTTCCTCTGGATCCCGATTTCCTGCGTTAGCATCAGTCTGATCTCTGCCCGTAAACCTTCTAATATTAGCTTCACCTCGGGTTTACAAAACACCAACCTGCTGCCAGTCCGAGGCCTCTGACAGACCATAAAAAGCCATGTTCCAGGTCCTGTGCTGGCCCTGCCTCCCCCCTCCTGGTTTCCACGGCTGGGTTCTGATTCACCTCGGCTCTCGTCTTGTGACCCCTCAGCGTTGATCTGCACCTTGTTTGGTTTCCCCCGACTCTCCCCCTCCAGCCCTGTTTCTGTCCATCCAGGGTTTATCCTCATCACTGATCTGTTCATCCCTCCAATCCTCATCTGTTCCTCAGAGCAGCGCTGGACGGCGACGCTGACGGAGCTTCGTCTGACAGCGGTGGATGAACGTATGACCTGAGCAGACGCGACACCTGGACAGGTTCTCCTGGTGGTGAGTCACATGCTGCTGCTTCTTCTTCCTAGTTGGAGCATCACAGTCTGTAGCATCTTTAATATTTGGCACAATAATTGAAATTCAGGTGAGTTTTATTTCCTGTGGTGATGGTTCTTGCAGTTCAGAAGTAAAAAATCATCAGTGGTTGAAGCTGTGGGACGTTTATAACGTAAAGTATAAAGTGTTTACAGCTAGACGGAGAACATTTCAAAAATCAGATGACTGTGACACACATTCGCTGTTTGATCTTTTGTTTATGTCACATAGAACTCAGGGATTTATGGGATCAGCATACAGTCGTATGGACTGATAATCTGAGTCAAAAACAAATTCCTTTTGTTGTCTGATTCTTAATGCTGTCAGACATAATCTGCACCATGAAACCGTGCGAAGAGCTTTTTACACGTAACGATCTCAGCGTCAAAGTTAGAATCAGAGCACAAAGTGTTGGACAGAGCAGCTGATGGTTTATTATGGACGGAGATAAACGGTGATGCAGCTCAGCTTCACTAACGGACAGAGTAGAGGACGCGTTTAAAACTCAGCATCACCATGAATGCTGCAGGAAACACTGAGGAACACGAAGTGTAACGTTAAGGTGCTACACAAGGATCCAGGTGTCTCATAAATGTGCTGCCAGGCGAGATCCACCTGTCCTGTCGCTGCACAGAGAGCCGCCGACATGCAGCTCAGCATCGAGCTCTGTGGGCGCAGCAGCCGCACAGCGCATGAGATGCAGTCTGAGTGTAGACAGGATGCTGCAGTGTGGTCTGAATATAACAACTGTCCATGTGTGGGCTCATCAGAAACCCAAACCCAAACCCGAACCCTAACCTGTCCATGTGT